CCCCCCCCGTTTTGGCACTTGTTCCTCAATTTTTTCATCTCAGTAAAAATGTTTCAATTAATTAACATGAAAAGATTTTCATTTGGTGGTATCCATATTCAACTTAAGGGTTTAGTAATGAACTCATAAATCCTGTTTATAAGAATAGGGAGAAAAATACATTCATAAACTGCCAATTTAGTGTCCCTATGCAGCTGCCACCTCCCAATAGGATATCTTTCAAAGGTGTTGGACTACAGTTCTCATAATGCCCAACCAATCCAATCATGACCATTTGACTAGAAATTATGGGTGCTAATTCATGCTACCAGGAGAGCATTTGCTGATAAGATAAACGCTACATAGCTTTGTAACTACCTCACATAACACAGAATCCAAAGCAAACATACTTAAAATGATGTATTATTAAAATTAATGGGGTTTACTTATTCACAAGTAAATATGTTGAATTGCTGATCAACATGAGTGTTGTGCTCTATTTTATGCAGGGTAAAAGTGTCTTAACTGGTGGACTTGACGCTTTGGAGTTTATTGGCAAGAAAACCATGAATGTTCTGGCAGAAAGTGATCCTGGATTCAAGAAAACCAAAATACTGATGGAACGGACCGTTTCCTTATCTCAGGTGAAACATGCAAGTAGTGATAAGCACTCATAAAAAGTGATTTAGCAAGACTTTTCTAATCTAGTCCTCTCTAGATAAGCTGATACTACTTCATCCAGATTTGGCAGAATCCTGGTGGAGGATTCTGGACCTTATAGCTCCAACGTACTTAAAGTGTATCAAGTTGGAGAAGGGAGATGTCAGCAATTACAGATAATTTTTTGGGACTTTTGAAGCAGATGCCCTATAATCATTGAATGATACCAATAGGTAAGAATATGTCCACACTAGATGCCAAAGGTATGAGTTAGAATTTATCTTTGGTGTGATGATGTTCCATACTGGTTCTAATACTATCACTATCACTAGCATATTATCATTGACCACTTTGAAATTCCCACTCCAGTGGAGAATTCCCATGCCATTCTCATGCCATTCTTGGGCTGGTGAGAAAGTTCTACATGCTACCAGGAATTCTCATGTGAAAATCAGCAGCCAGGTTTATGACATAAAGTTATGTTTTTAGCATTGACAAAAAGTATATGGAAATGGCTGTCTTTATATGTTTGATTTGTTTGTTTGCTGTATTCTTTTTATATATATATGTTCTTTCTTTAAGTTGTAAGCCACTCAGAGTCATGGAGGAGTTGGGCAGCCTTGAATTGAATTAAATAAATAAACAAAAAAAACTTTAGAAACCATGATTTAAGCTAATCACAGTTAATTAATGAAAAGCTAAGAGTGAAAGCGAGCACTTCTGAATTCATCTTGGCCATGTGAGAGGAAGAAAGGAAAGGAGGTATACCTAATTCTGAGACTCACGATGGTTCATTCTCAGTTTTGTGTGATGTGTGAACAGAGACAAGGGGGACCTGACATTACATCACTGTGTTCTACAATGAAGCTTTATTTTGAAGAATACATTTATCTAACAGTACTTTCCATTACATCACCTCTAATTGGAAAACCTACATGGATAACCCTGCTAAAAACATTTTAGTAGCATTGTCTTAATAAAAGAGTGAAATACTTCTGCTGGCATGGCCTTACTACCCTTTTTTATTATTACTGCTTAGAGGAGCTGGGTCTAGAGGTGATAACATTTGTCAAATCTGTCATGCAGCCCATAAATCAGAAACCACATTCTGTATTTTCACAGCTGCTGAGAGAAGCTAAAGAGAAAGAAAAGCAAAGACTTGCACAGCAAGTCACAATCGAGCGGACAGCACATTACGGGTTGCTCTTTGATGAATTTCAAGGTCTGTCTCATCTGGAAGCTTTGGAAATTCTGTCTAATGAAAGCGAAGTCAAGGTATGGTCAATGAGGTGCCTAAATCAAGAGAATGAGAATGGGTATTGGGACGTATTTCTCAAGAATAATTTGCAGCAAGATAGTAACCCTGTTTCTAGGAAATGCCCTTTCCATTCTAAGATCTTCATTTCCTTTTATTTATTTTGCCATTTCAATTCATAACTTACAGGCTCCGAATGGCTTTCCCATTACAGGTAGTCCTTGGGTTATGAACTCCGGGTTTACGGATGACCCACAGTTAAGAACGGAGCCAATTGTAGCAAAATTCGAGTTAAAAACACAATGATTTGAGTTAAATACACAATGGTTCAAGTTAATTACATAATACTACTTATACCGTATTATGCAATAATAGTGTTCTGGCTTACATACAAATTCGACTTAAGGACAGACCTTGGGAACGGAACTCGTTCTTAAACTGAGGACTACTTGTATTTTATCCTTGTAGTGCCTAGCATTCCCATCGCTATAAAATGAATCCCCTTATTTCACTTATTTCTTTCTTCTCTGTTCCTTCCTTCCAGGAACATTCTCTACATATTAATTCCAAATTAAATTTCTTCTTCTTTTCTACCTGAATGAATAGCACACATATTCCCATTCTCCCCTTTTTTAATCATTATTCTTTAAACTGCTCTGAGCTAATCCTTGGCTGCTGATTGATTCCATAAATCTTCTGCCACACTCAACACCTTCAACTCATTAAATGTACTGACACAAGGGGTGGGGGGAGAATGTATTAGAGATTTCCACTTTCCAAACTGTGTCTACCTGGCCAATGAAGTATGGCATTGCCATTTTGTGGTCACTACAAAATCATTTCTGATGGTCCTTTTATGAAAAATGTTCTTCAATTCAACCCGTATGTACTTCATCAACACAAATCCCATTATTAGACTGTAAAGAGGATTTTTTGCAACACCAACATGAACATCTCATCTTCAGTGGCACAGAGGCCCCACTGGATTAAGTAGAATTGAAACACCAACAGGATCATACCATTTTAGCAGAGATCAGATGTTACCGCTGATTTTTAGGACTGCAATAAATATGTCTAATGCATACAGACTTCCTCTGTTTTTCCTCAAACATGCTATACCACAGCTATGTTGAAATGCTCTGCTCAAAATCTGCATATCTGGGGTTAATTGTAATGTTTATTTATTGTTTCAGATACAATCATATTTGGCATCTCTTGAAGGAGAGGAGCTGGAAGCAGCAAAAAATGTTTTAATTGCTATTAAGGAAGTCTTCCTTTCACAACAATCAGATAATGAAGACAAAGAAACAAAGAAAGGTAGCTGTTGAATGACCTGTTAAAGGATCTACGTATTAATTCAAAACTATGAAACATATCTGTTTTTTAAGATACGAGTGGCTTGATCCCCAAAATGGTTCTGCTGAAGGACTTTCTATTGAAAATACTATTTTCTTAGTTAATAGTACTTTATATATAATGATAATGTTGCATGTGTTAACATAAGGAACATATACAAACAAAAATCAAAGAAACTTTATTTCATATCCTTGTTATAAATTATAAATATTGTCAGCAGAATAACAGTGGAAATAGAGGAGTCATAAAGCTAAGATTTCTGTATTAGATGATACAATCCAGATACTTTCCAGTCTTTTCTATGCTACTCCTTCTCTTCTTAATATTGTAAAGTTAGTAGATGAGGTCATTCTTAATATCTGTTAAGTCTTCTTCTCATTAGGAAATGAAACATCAATAGAACATAGATAGGCTCACCTTACTTGCTGAGTAAAAAGAAATACTTTGTGCTTTTGGCCTACTCAGTGGTATTGTAATTTTTTTCCTGACAATCAGCATGCAACTGAGACACCCACCCACCTTCAGTGTGGAAAGCAAACTCCTACCTTGGAAATTAGAGGTTATCCTGTTGAGTTAGGATGGAGGGGAGAACAGGTGCCCAGTAAATTAATCGTGGCAAGCACTAAAATTGCTTCCAAGTGGGAAGTAGAAACTATTGGCTACTGGAAAAATGGATACAGGACAGAAATGCTATTTGTTTGCTAGAATATGAGACAGTAAGAAGGAGAAAAAAAGAATATCTTTATACATAATTAGAATCCCTTTGATTAGGGAGCAGAAGGAATGTTTTTCTCTTAATTTAATCCTTTTTCCTTGGTTATTGCATCAGATGCAGGAGATGAGTTTATTACAACGCTTACAGAATTGCTGTTTGAGCTACACGTTGCTGCCACGCCCGACAAACTTAACAAGGTGGGGAATGTTGTTTGCTGGCTCGCTGGAAACCTCTTCTTTATTCTGTAGCTCAGTGCTATGATCCTTGATAGCATATTAATGAAGAAGGAAAGAAATAGAGCAAGAGCAGACAGCAGTGATGTCATTACTACTTTGGTGTAACTTTAAACGCAAAGGAGAAGGGGGAAGAAAGGGGGAAAATAAATGAGTGTGTCTGTAAATTGTTCATAGCCAGGAAATCTCACTTTGTGAAATAAGACATGGACATTTGGGCAGAGCATTTCTTCACCATGGTGTCAGATGCCAATTTTGATGCTCCACGTGTCTGTGTTAAGGCAGCTCAAATTTTATATTCAAAATTATGCAGAGCAAAAGCAGTGATGAAAAATGGCAAGATAAGAAATGGAAATATAGGGGGGAAGAAGGCCATTAGTAGTTCTGCAAACACAGTGATATAATGGGTTGAAAGCACAGGGACTACATTCATTGATTGATTGATTGATTGATTGATTGAATGAATGAATGAATGAATGAATGAATGAATGAATGAATGAATGAATGAATGAATATAGCCACCCATCTCATTTACATGTGACTCTGGGCAGTGTACACATAGGCCATTTTCACATGGGGCATTTTCTGCCAGGCAATTAAGAGCTGCTTTATGTTGGGATCCAGATGTGCCATTCTGAAGCGGTCCATTTCACACCAGAATAATAGCTTTTGCTACTTCTGATGGTGGTTATCTTGCAGGCCAGAAAGAAAGCTTATGATAGCTTGGAAGTAGCAAGTCTCTCCACATCTGGAGACATGGAAGAGAACCCACCAGACCAAACTAAAGAAGCGGATGATGAAATTGTAGAAATGCAAGTAGCTGAAGAAAAATCTCAGGTGGGAGAATCTGAAAAGACAGAAATAAAAAGAACCAAAACAGTAGAGGTAAGAGATGACCAAGTTTCTCTTTGACTACTTTCAATCGGGGATGGTATAGGGAATCCAGCAGTGTGCAGGGAATTGGACTTGATGACCTCTTAGGGCATGTCCAACTCTTATGATTCTGTGATTCTGTCTGTGCTTGCTAATAACAGGGATAGGCAGTCTTTAGAGGTCAAGGAAACACCTGAGGGAGACTCAGGGCTGTGTAAGGAAGACAACGAGGCATTAAAAGGACAGGGCTGCATCAGACATATGGCTAGGACCAAGATTTTCCATTGAGGGTTTTCTTTGCTTTTCAAACTCTTAAAAACTATTTCATAGGCCTACGCTACAGCTTTTCTTTGTTTTCCCCTGGAAATGGCAAGAAACTGTCCCTTTTATTTTTGATACAGCAGACAGTTTCAGGAGGTGAAAAAAGGGGATCTCAAAGTATGACATCTGAGAAGGAGTCAAAAAAAGTCAAGATGGTGTTCATGGCCATGGGATCAAGCCTTTTTTCACAAGCATCACAATATATGTAAAAAGGGGGTTGATCCCATGGTCATGGACACCATCTTGACTTTTATTGACTCCCTGTTTTCCACCCTACCTGGTTTTTACTCTTATCTCCTGCTCCCAAAGCGTCTTAGAAACTTTTTAAAATTTATTTTTATGTATTGGTAGCTAACAAAATCTTCCATTGCTTATGTTTTGCGTTTGGGGTAACACTTTGTAATAATAAAAAGTAGAGCAATTCCGTTAGAAGACGAACTGCTCAGCTTCTCACCCAAAGCCATCTAAATCTGACTTCTGAGCATTTTCATTTAATAGGTCAGCTCTAGAACATAAACTCTGAAACCAGTAATTTACTAATAACAGGAAGAGAACTTTCTCTCATTACTTATAGAGTAAAATACTTTCTGTCACAAGAAACCAACATTCTAACAACGTCTGCTTATTTTAACCTGCTTAACTAATGATGTTTTCTGGGTGCATCTCCCCTGGATATTACTGTCACATGACTTTACTTAACTTAGTGTTCAAAGCATTTGTGCCAACCAGTAAAATTTACTGCGTACATTCTTTTGTATTTCTTTCCAGGAAATCTACATGTTGTCAATTGAAAGCCTGGCTGAAGTAACAGCTCGTTCCATTGAACAGCTTCATAAATTAGCAGAATTAATTCTTCATGGGCAAGAAGTTGAAAAGCCAGCCTTGGAGCAAGCCCGTGGTCTAACAAAGTGAATATATTTTTGTTTGCCATTCTTTCTGTTCAAGGGCTACTGCTTATTCAATGATTCCTCTGAGCAATTCCCTAATAAAAGGTTTTCATTTCTCTTGGGGGTGCATGGTCACATAGTCACAGAATCTTTGCTTGATGGGGAGGTTTTATAACATTGTGTTGGTTTTAACACAGTCAGCAAGTAATCTCTGCAGGCATCATTGCACCTATGACATTACAGATAGTCCTTGTTTAGCGACTGCCTTATTTAGCAACTGTTTCCAGTTAGAACAGTGATGAAAAAATAATTTTGCAACCAATCTTCACGTTTATGACCTTTGAAGATCTGTAAAGCAAAGGAAAGCTGAAGTAAGACCATAACTACAGTCACAGTTTCACTTAGCAACCGCTTTGCTTAATGACCAAGTTGCCAGCCACAATTGTGGTTGCTAAATGAGGACTACCTGTATACGAAGCCCACTGACTTCCCTTTAAAAAAAAAAAATCCTAATTTTAAGAATGGCTGAAATTTTGTAAGCAAATCTTTCAAATCTTTTCTATGTTCATCCATGATCTCTTTAAGTGATGTTTTAAATTAATGTTTACAAAATTATTCTTACTATTTAGATTACTTTTGTGCCCCTAGCAGTGAATAAAAAGGAAGGCAAAGCTGTGTTTCACTGAAAAAAAAAATGCTGTTATGGATGGCATATACCATTGTGGAGTATGCAAGTGGAATACGCATGTAAACCACAGAAGTAAAGTTAAAGATTTACTTTCCTAATGTGCCCTGTAGAACCAACCCATTGTGGTTGGGTAAATTAGTCATCATTCAGTTAGACAGACCCAGCTAGCTACCCAAAATGACACAGTCATTTTAGATTTACAGTATTGGTGTGATATAAAGCAAACAGGTCAATTCCTTACAAAAGCTGCTATTTCAGATTTAGGAAGCTGCATATACACAAGTTAGACCACTGTTCTAATTAAGATAGTGTTGCCTCCAATGATTGGAACAGCTCTTTGCAGTTTCAAGGAAGAACTTGCTTTTCTATCTTTTCTAGGAGAAGGCACAGTAAAACATGACATTCTGACATTGCAGGAACTCTCTATTAACATTTTTACCTGCTGCATTTTAAAAAAAATTGAAATGAAAATTGTTGCAGTAAGGTAATGCTGAAAACTAAATTGTTCTTCCATTACCACTGTAGTTTTAGAGCAATAATGCTGACTGTTTGTTACTTCCTGATAATATTGTATTGATCTGAAAGGAAAACTAGTTTTCCCCCCAAGTAAATTATGTTTAAAGCAGGAAAAGCATTTTACATTTGCTGAGAAGTAAGTAATGGGAGCAGGTAAGATTCTAATCAACTCTTTTTAAGATAGAGATTATCTGAAATTCAGTTATCATCTTCCTTTTGAGCAGTCTAACAATACAGTATCCTTCTAAATATACATGTATCCTTTGTCTTAATTAGTAATAGTGAATTGGTAATCATCTATGTTGTAGTGAAATTTGCACTGAAATGTTCAAGAATATGCTGATTAGGATGGGCAAATACTATATTTCCATTATGTCTTCAACAGTTTAACAAATACGATGTGTAACGAAGTGTCATCCCTATCAAAACAATTCTCTGATGTTTTGACTTTGGTTGGGGTAAGTTATTACACTATTTCATTTATTTATTACCTCATGTCTTATTCTTTGACTAAATGAGAGAAGGAGCAAATGGGGAAATTTAAATGCTATTTCTAATCAGCATCCAGTACATATAATGTATTTCCCACAGAACCACAAGCACAAAAATGATTCTGTATCCTTAATCATATATAGCTGTGTATAGCTGTAAGGTTTTAAGTGCTGGGACTTTGTTTTTCTCTAAATATTCCATTCATCCAAGGTGCCAAATAATAGCCACGTTTTATAGCCAACTGCTGTGTTTTATGCTCATGTTCCATCATAAAACTAGCTGGAGGACTCAAAAAAATTGACTCTTACCTTTGTAGTTAAACTCTTAATGTTGTAGGTAAACCCATGACAGTTAAATGCAGGAGATTTCGAGCTCCAATTAAATCATTCAAGATAAAATGGAATGTGCATTCTTTTTTTAAAAGAATCTTACATTGGCTTCCTCCCCTTCAATTCTGTCGTACAAAGTAGGCCTGTTACCACGACACATTTATATTATGCAGATTCCAGAATTGAGTAGATTCATCCAATTAACTCATAGGGGTTACATTTAGACTCCCAAGACCCAATCCTCCCCCCATTCAGCTAGTCCCCCTCCCCATCGGCTAGCTCATGGAGGCTACTTACCAAAGGATTAACCATCCTTTTAATGTACATGATCAAAACAAAGTCCTAGAGGGCCTTTGTACAGGGGGTTGGAATAAGCAGAAACAGATGGGGAAGAGGATCACACACACAATGAGTCCATGATAACCCCAACCCTGATCATTTGGGAGGGGTACTTTTTTTTCTTCTCTCCAGAGGGAAAAATGTTATTCCAGCTGGTAGTAAAAAATACAGCCTTCCAATAGGAGCTGGAAGACTTTAAAAAATGACTGAGATTGTGTGCTCTTAGCACACAAAGGCAAGTTGGTTGACTGGGAAAGAGGAAACCTGGACTGTTTCTGTGGTGCAAAGTGGCCCTAGAATCGCTAAAGCCTAATGGCTCATTAGCATAAATGTATACTTCCTTTTCCATAGCTCTTAAGGTTAATCCATTATGTCAGGGTTCTTCAACCTCAGCAACTTTAAGATATGGGTGGACTTCAACTCCCAGAATTCCAGTCCACCCATCTTAAAGTTGCTGAGGTTGAGGAACCCTGCATTATGTGATATCCATTGTAGTGATTGAGGCACTGGGCTCAGACCCGGGAAATCCAGATTCAAGCCCACTGTTGGCCATGGAAGCTTCTTGGGCCAACTACTCTTTCTTAGCCCAACTTTCCTCACAAGGTTGTTGATGAGGGGGAATAAAATGAAGGGAGATTCCCCACCCTGAGCTCCTGAAGAAAAGACAGGATATAAAGCTAACACACAAACTAATAAATAATATTTTTAAAAAATTAAAAGATGCTGCAGGTTAAAAAATGTTAAAAGATACTGCACAAATGAAAAAAGAGTTTGGAAGGGGGAGAAAAAGAAATGCAAATTCTGATACTAGTTCTTTATTCGTGAAGTTCTAATAGGTTCTTTTTTTTCTGGTGGGATGCAGTAAGCTTCCTGTAGTTTTCTCTTCCTAAGGCCCAAGTCCCCTGCTGTGATGGTTTTCCTGGGAGCCAAGAAGAATACCCTCATAGTTAAATTTAGTCAAACATCATGTCAAGTAATATGGTATGGGAATTTGATCATCCATGGTCTGGAAGCTTTCATCTTACTATAGAGTGAGAGTATATATTCTGAGCCCTGAGAAAGACCTTTGATCTAGCCTTTGGCTGTTGGAGGGATCCACAATCCTATTCAGCCCTGAAGGGATCTATAATATCCACAACCCTCAGGATAGGGAAAAGTGTTAGCAAAAGGTCAACTGATGCATAGAGTCATCTAGTTGTCCTAGAGAGAAGGGGAGGAGCTCAGTTCTGCTTCCTTCCAAGCCTCTCATATATTCTTAGTGTTAGCTTGCACAGGAAAAATAGAAAATAGAGTTTCTCACAGTTTGGGCAGGCCCTGAGAGGTCAAGGTTAGTAAGACCTTGCCTGCTTCCCTGTTGCATATTTCACCATTAGGGTAGTATAGTAAATGACAAACTAAAAGCCTTTTTGTACCCTTCCTAGGAATCTGCAATTCTAAGGTGCACTTTTCTAAAGTGAACCTTAGAAATATTTTAGCAAATCAGTCAATGTTCTTACCGTGTGAAATTGCTCTCATGCAAAACATAGCAAAATGGATGAAGTAAACATATCCTAATTATTGAATCAGGTCAGACAGGTGGTTTGGTGTTTCTTTTATGACTAGGTTGTCAGGCAATGTCTTCTATAAAGACAGATGCTGAGAAAAACAATAGGTTCAGTTAGAGCAAAAACACTGAGGAAATGCAAATTTATAGTAACCAGAAGATCAGGACTTGAGCTAACATGACTGATGAACTTCAAATATGGATTTTCCACAGAAAATGCAAAATAAAGCAATTAAAAAGGATCACAGAAGTTAGTTCTAATTCAAACATTTCAATATAGGTCATTCATGCTTGATAGCTGAATATTAAAGAGGGGCCCTTTGGTGAGCCTTGTCCACCTCACTTCCATTCATGATGATTTATTTACAGTTCTATCATTTTAAATCCTTTATCTTGGCAAGAAGTTACAGGAATGTATCTCTTTCTGCTTTTTAGCATATTTCCTCATAGGTCTTTGAGGCAATATCAATAAATCTTGAGGAAAACACAGGAAGGAAATAGGCATTTTACATGGTATTTCATTCTGGTCTTGGCATCAACAATGGCATTTGGCACTTTAGCAGGTTGCTTGGAATAGCTTCACAGGACTCTGACAGTTACTTGTTCATATCAGTGAAGTCCAGATGCAGCTATCAAGGGGAAATTGGAAATGAACAGCAGAAGTTTTACTCCTGCAGTCTGCAGGAAGCTTGGATAATAAGGGGAAAACCATGAGGCAAGCAGATTATAAAGACAGTAGTAGGAACTTAATAACCTTGGAGAAATCTCCTGAACTAAACTCTTATGTCAGCCTTGTCCAAACTTGGCCACTTTAAGATGAGTGGACTA